CAGAGGGGCTGGGGAGTCTCCTTCTCTGGAGATATTCCAGCCCCGCCTGGCCGCTGTGCTGTGCAGCCTGCTGTGGGTGACCCTGCTTGGGCAGGGGGTTGGGCTGGGTGACCCACAGAGGGCCCTGCCAACCCCTACCATTCTGTGATTCTGTGATTCTGTGATGGATAGATGGGAAATTCTGAACAGATCCAAGGAAAAAGGTGTTTGATGTGAGGGTTATCAAATACTAGAAGAAGCGCCCAGAGAGGCGGTGGGACCTCGGTCCTTGAAGATGTGCAAACCCGGTCTGGACGTGGCTCTAGGCAACCTGCTCTTGTTAGCCCTCGTTTGAGCAGAAGTTTGCACTGGAGCCCTCCAGAGATCCCTTCCACACGGGGGGTCTGTGGTGATGGGGGTCGTTGCTCGAAGCAGAGCTAACCCCAAATTTAGGCTCGGAGCCCTGACTGGTTGACTTTTGAATATCTCCAGAGGTGGAGAGGCCGCAGCTACTCAGGTTCCTTTCCCAGTATTTGCCTGCTCTGATTGTGAAGATTTTCCTTACGTCTAATTGGAATTTCTCTTGCTGCAGCTTGTGCCCTTTCCCTGTACACCCCCAAGACAAGTCTGGGGTCGTCATCACCATGACCGCTAATTAATTAGGTGAAGGCTGCATTTTAGATTCCCTCCTCGGTCTCCTCCAGGCTAGATGAGTCCAGTTCACCCAGTGTCTCCTTTTCCACCACTTTCTCCTGCCACGTCCTCGTTTTGCTGGGCTCGCTGCGATTGCCCAGGCTGATGAGGCTGGCAGACACCTTTGGAAGGTCATCTGGGCCACCCTTTGCTCTGGCTGGATTTAGGGGTGCTCCACTGAGGGAGCAGGATGAGGAAGGGTGGCTGTGTGTTGTTCCCTTGGCTGGTGAGAGGGATGCATTACACACGTTAGGTGTTCAAAAAACATGTAGACATGGCACTTTGGGACGTGGTTTAGGAGGCGTGGTGGTGTTGGGTTGGCGGTTGGACTTGATGATCGTAGAACCATAGAGTCAAAGAATGCTTTGGGCTGGAAGGGACTTTTAGAGGTCATCTAGTCCAAAAATGAGCTTAGAGGTCTTTTCCAACCTTAATGATTCTATGACTCTATGCAGTTGGTCTCTTCTCCCCAGGAACCAGCGACAGGACGAGAGGCGATGGCCTCAAGCTGCGTCAGGGGAGGTTCAGCTTGGAGGTTGGGCCAAATGTCTGGGCTGAGAGAGTGGTCAGGCCTTGGGCCAGGCTGCCCAGGGCAGTGGGGGAGTCCCCATCCCTGGAGGGGTTCAAACACTGTCTGGATGTGGCCCTTGGGGACATGGTTTAGCAGGCATGGGGGTGTTGGGTGGTTGGACTTAATGATCTCAGAGGTCTTTTCCAACCTATGATTCTGTGATTCTGAACCATGAGCTGCTCTTGTGAGGCAAACCCACGTGTCCCGTCGTTGCTCTTGCAACGCCCTGGCTGTGTGGGTGTTGTGCCTCTCAGTGAGTTAAAGTTCTGCAAGAGATGGTTGTTCTGACTGCTGCAGACTGCCGGGTGACTGCACGGGGAAGTCCACCCAGCGTGGGGTGTGAATCTCGAGCGCTCTCCTTAGGTTTCGGTGCTCACGCAGTCGTCGACATCAAAATCATTTGGTGAAAAAATCATTCTTCCGCGGTCACAGAATCACAGAATCACAGAATGGTGGGGGTTGGCAGGGCCCTCTGTGGGTCACCCAGCCCAACCCCCTGCTGAAGCAGGGTCACCCACAGCAGGCTGCACAGCACCGCGGCCAGGCGGGGCTTGAACATCTCCAGAGAAGGAGACTCCATAACCTTTATTATTCCTTTTTCTCTTCCCTCCCGTTGCACGATGGAATGGTGATAATTAGGAGCCGTGTTTTTGTCGGACTAATAAAATAGCAAATCCACCAAGCTTTGCTCCTGATTTCCACGTTCTTTTTCCACCTTTTGTTGTCCAGTCTGAAGCCTTGTCGTTAGCTGTTGCTTGTCCCCTCCGTGGCCTTCGATGATGCAGGCTGATCCCTAGCGAAGTGGGCAGAGTATTGCCTGAAAACAATTCCAAGGCCTTATATTTATTCTGGCAATATTGCAAGAAAAGCTCAGCTAGAAGTGGGAAAATATGTCAGAAATGTGAGGCCAGATCATCATCATGTTTGCATCGGACAACAAGAAGACAGCCCAGGGACCTCAGGTCTCCGGTTCATTTTGGTGCTGCCGGTTCCCACTTGTCGATATCTCTGTCACAGCAGTCTTTCTTTTTCCACCAGTTCAATTCTGATACGATTTTAATCACTTTTGAAAACCTCTGGAGCTAAAGACACTGTTCTGAGCTCTCTGAAACCTCCGTTTCTCAGCTTTCCTGCCATCTGAAGTCTTTGTTGTGAGGTAGCTGCTACAATCACCTGAAGGCTGTAGTAGCAAAAAGAGAAATACTGCGTAGCTGGTTTGGTGTCTCATTGTGCTTTGAGGACTGATGAAGTTAATGACAAATTAGTTTAAATCTTAATGAGGAAAATCAGGTGATTAGTATGGGGTTTGGGTCCGGAAAGCGGCCGTCTGAATACAATGAACGTCTCATTTTCATATGGGCTCCGGAATAGCTGAGACGTGCCTGTACTTCATATTTTTAGCACCGCTGACTTCCAGGTGATGGGGAATAATTCAGGTGAGGTCCTGCAAGAACTTCTTTTTCTCGCAAGGTTTTGAGCTGCGTTCTCTCTTGCGTTGGGGAAATACATCAGACAGTTCCGCTGTTCCGCAGAGGCTGGATTAAGCTGGAGTGGGCTCTTGTTTCATGACCCGTTCGTTTTTCGAGCTTTTCTGTCTAAAAACCTAGTTAAAAAAAAATTGAAAGAAATTTCTTGCTTATGTCTTGACCGTAGTTACCCGCTGCTGAAGCTGCCGCCGCCCGGCACGGGGCCCGTGGAGTTCCGCACCCCGGTGAAGGATTACTCCCCACCCTCTCCAGACGCGGGTCGGCAGCAGGGGGATCCCGGCGAGCGTCCCGACTGGGTGAGTCCCGCGCTGGGTGTACTGGGTGCGCGTGGGGGGGCGATGGGATGGTGAAACACCCCTGCTGTGTTACCTACGCTTTGCTGTCGTCGATGGGAAACATTTCTGGTGACCTGCTGCTTTGGGTAACTGCGAAGTTTTGGCTGTATTTGTCTTGTGTTAGTCTTTTTCTATCGGAAAAACAAATGCTTGGCGTCTGGAAGAGCTAAAAGCTCTGGAATGCTGTTTAAGAGCCCATTTTCAAGGCTAATGTTATCTAAGGCAAGTAGTACACTTTTTAAAGCATTATTAGAATCCCAGAACGGTTTGGGTTGTGAGGGACCTTATAAACCATCCTGTTCCACTGCCCTACCACGGGCAGGGACCCCTTTCCCCAGCCCAGGGTGCTCAGAGCTCCGTCCAACCTGGCCTTGAGCCCTGCCAGGGAGGGGGCAGCCACAGCTTCTCTGGGCAGCCTGGGCCAGGGCCTCACCGCCCTGAGTTGTATTTTAAATAAGTTTAATGATGGGGTAACAGGCCCCAATTTCCTGATGTCACGCGTTGGCGTGCTGTTTCCCTGGAGCAGCAGGACAAGGCTGCTGCTGACACCGCTTCGCACGCCTGCCCCTGGTCTCCTCTGAAGGGTGAGAACGCGACTGAGCCAGCCTTTACTGGTGTAACTGGCTGGAGATGGCACCAGTAATTCCAACGGAGGTTGTGGTGTTGTCAGCTTCCCTCTGAGGGGAGCTGGATTCTGGCCATCAACCAGCTTATCCTTCATGTATCACTAATTAGCTGTCAGAGTGGAAATGGCTGTCTGGCCTGGAGGTGGAAGACACACTGTCCAGCTCCTCAGCACTTGCAGTTTTCTCTCTTTTGACTTTAAAATATTGCATCTAGCAGGGTTTTTTTCTGATGGTGCAGGCAGTCCAGGCTTCACTTCCAAGGCTTTTTTCTTAAGGTTTCAATCAAGAGTTTTTCATTTTATTTAGCATTTAGGCAGCCAAAGATTCTGGCTGTGGAGCTAGCTACTACAGTGTGGTGTAAGGAGTGTGGGGATGCTTGAAGAACCTGGTGAATTAAGTGTAATCTAAAGAATCACAGAATCCCAGCATGGCAGGGGTTGGAAGGGCCCTCTGGGGGTCACCCAGCCCAACCCCCTGCCCAAGCAGGGTCACCCACAGCAGGCTGCACAGCACCGCAGCCAGGCGGGGCTTGAATATCTCCAGAGAAGGAGACTCCCCAGCCCCTCTGGGCAGCCTGGGCCAGGGCTCCGTCACCCTCAGAGGGAAGAAGTTCTTCCTCATGTTCAGAAAGGTGGGTTTTGGTTTTATTTTGGGTGTTTTTTTAATTGGCTGGTATGTATCATGCAGGTAAACTAGACTTGTAATCTTAGGTTAAGGGTAAGGAATTGACTTTTCTTATGCGTGGGCAAACTGGAACCTGAATGCTTTCCAAGAAGGCTGATAACCTGGTCCAGGAAATCAAGAAACAATTCTAAAATCCTCCTTTGTAACCTGCATTGTTCATTTTCATTCCGGTGTCTCTCTTCAGTAGAAGTTACCTTTTGCCTTAATGCTTTTGATGCCTTCAGCTCTCTACTCTCTCCATGCGTGCTCTTCTCACTGCGATTGAAATAATTTGCTGCTTTCTGCACTCCCTGGTGCCACCGAGAGCTTTTTGTGCTATGCTGCTAGCTCGGGCTGCTGCTGGCTGATCAAATCTTCCCTTCTGCTTTGTCACCTCGTTCAGCTAATAGAGTGCAGAAGTTCTGGCTGCCGCGGCGTGTCGGTGCTGCAGTCCCTAGCGCAGGGCCAGACAGCAGAATCGGCTCCGGCTGGGGAACGGCAGCGTTGCGAGAGGCAG